GCAGCAGGACAAGATTTTGGGCATCGGAAGTGTTCTAGTTTGAACTAGATCACCGGAGTGATATTGAGGTTCTGAAATGCTTCCTAGGAATCACGATTCAGGTTTTTATTGGTGTGAAATGAGCTTGTGAAACAATTTGCTCGTCTCTCAGCTACAACTCCAGTCTCGCGTCTCCAGTTGCTAATCGGACAGGAAACAATGAGCAGCGCGGGGAAAAGGGAAGTCACGGGCCGGAAATCCGCTCGCTACGCCAGAACCCGAAAAAGTAGAGCGGATCGGAAGCTGAAGGGTTCTGAGATGGGACTCGGTTTAACCGAGCCTCAAATTTCACAATAGCATTATCCTAAATGATCATCTTAAACAGCAGATGTTGGTTGAAATACAACTCCAGAGCATAGCCTTATTTGAAGCAGAATTTAGCTAAAAGTCAAATATCGTCATTGTTGATGATATTATTATGGATGAATGATGACAAAAGAAAAGTTCTTTGTTTTGCATTGAAAGAGAAGACGTCATGTCCAACGAATGTAACGGTATATTTTTGACACCTTTGGAGTCCATGTGGGCGGGGCACTGGTATGCATGACACAATAAATAAATGTAAACCAGGGAGGCTTCTTCTTCCGCGTCCTTCAGGACCTCTCACACGTTCTCTAAGACGTTTGCAGAACTTGCATTACAGGAATAATAAACATTTGAAAACTGGCCACGGCCCCTCGGCCACCTTGATCTCACTCCATCCTCTTATTTGTGGGCTTGTCCACCTAACTTTGAGTCTTTCTTTCTCATGTCTCCTGCTGCTGCCCATCTCGTGTGTCTCTCTCGGTTGGTTTTCATTATTTTTCTGGTTCAGCTGACTGGGGCCCATATGTTCGGGGCTTCAGTTGTGGTATGCAGCGAGATCCAAATTAACGCTGCATGTTGCCATATGAGAGACTGAAATACAACAAGTAACACAGAACAGATGGACTCCAGATCCTGGTTGCTGGAAAAGTATTTTCCACTGATGCTGCTAACTCCCCTCTTACTGTCGGAGGGGGAAAAAAGAAAAAACCCAGCAGAGACGTAGAGAGAAGAACGTGTACACTTATAGATCACTTAAACACATTCTGACTACTACCAACAATCATTCTGATGGTTCACTGAGAAATAATGTCCCTTTGGCTTCATGAAACTCCTCCATTTTTTTATTTGTCCTGAAGGCTTGAGGTAAAGCGCTGCATGACCTCGACCGGAGATGAGACGGGACAGGGGCCGTGTGACTAAGAGGAGGTCCACAGGCGGTCTGAGGAAACTGCAGCCGACTCCGGGGGGACAGAATACCACCATTTTCCTGGCAAGACGCTGACCTCGTCTGTAACCTCGCCTGCCGTACGTCGGATGAAAGGAAAAGCGGAGCTCGATGGTGCTGAGACGTCTCTCTCGAAGGAGGAGAGACGCTCGAGTGCTGGCGGAGGTTTTTGAGACAACTCCACTGCGAGGAAAACTGTACATTACAAATTGCTCAAAAGCAGGCAAAATGAATGAACACATGATACATTATTTTCACCTTTAGGTCCGTGGACTAAATTATCTAAAATACTACGACACAGAGACGGAAATGTTCATCATTTATCTGCCGGCAAGCCGTCACCAAAACCAAAACCCTTGAGGCCGAGGCGAGGTGGAGGAGTAAAATGTTAGAGTCTGAGCTGAGGAGATTGGGGGCTTCTGCTCGATTCAGCTGACATGACAAGATTCACTTCTGTAATAAAACAAGTGTTACACCACTTTGGCTATTTTGTCATTTTATCGGCAAAAATGACAAATAGGAAAATACAGTCCTTGTATAACCAGAAGAAATTGATGCATCCAATCTACCCTCTTCTAGTGGAAAACCATTTTTAACAGTTTTATAATATAGGCTTCCTTTGATTTCTTTTCAATTTGAACACCAAACGACAAAGTCACAGTAAGTCATACAGCAACGTCCTCACTCTGGTGATACGTTGACAGAAAAATATGAAAAAGAGCGTTGGGCACTTTGACAGCCGGACTTGGTCAGAGTCTTCTGACAGAGTCTTCTGACCAAGTATAGGAAGTTGGCAATTGGCATACTTTCATATCTGAATTAAATTAGTTTAAAAGTTCCGTTTGAACTGACATTAGCAATGCTTCAAAAGCCTGGCCGCCAAAGACGCTGTGCGCACAGTGGAACTTTGTCAGGGGAACACATTATCAGTTTCCCTGCAGCTTCCTCCTTTGTGAGAAATGAGCGGACTGATATTCTCACGCTGAAAGATGTAAATAAAAATACATATGAACCGGACCCATGGATAAGTATCTGCTGTGCAGCACACTTAGATGTAACCCACAGATGTGTGAAACCTTTCTCCACACCCACACAAAATAAACGGTAGCTCAACATGTAACCCAGCAGCCCCACACAGTAAGTGCACTTAAATGCTTCTTCTGGGGTGTGAATGTGTATGTTTAAATGTGTGCATGTTAATCCACAGTTTCCCTTCCTTTTAAGGTCATTTCCAGGGCCTTAAGTCTCTACCCTGCCTCAATCTATCTCTCTGTCCCTCCCCTTCTCTCCCCCTCTCACAGCAATGTAGTCGGTTGACTAAAGCTGGCTAATGCCTACCCATTTCTGATCAAACACACACACACACACACACACACACACACACACACACACACAACTCTATCATTAACTGAATTACCTCACGCACATGGTTAGGGCTGCAGCTGGCTGAAGAATTGAGGGCTGCTAAATATAAAAACCCTACAAGCACACACACAGACAGACGTGCGACGTCTTCCTCATGTACCCCGGCTTGGGCCAGAATGCACACATTCTCTGCGGCGCTGCAGCGTAGGTGGCGGCGACTTGCACAGCGGTCAACTCAATCAATCCGATTACTGGTTTGCGGATCTTTGAGGACAGGCAGCCTCGCAACTTGCCCCATCTGGAATTATTATAGGGTTTTATGCCATGGGGCCTCGTGTGTAGCGCCAAGCATTTCAAAAAAAAAAAAAAGAAGATATCCTGCTGTGTTGCAATGAGCCGTCATGTGAGGATACAAAGAAGGGCGAGCTGATCTTTCTGTATCCTACACTTAAATGCCGGATACGCAAATTTCAAATATATTTAAAAAAGGGACAATTTCATACCATTTAATTCCAACTGTCGAGTTGATGCACTAAAGTAATGTGTGACTAAATGTTGTGACTGGCTGAAACAACCCCACACAAACAGGAAATAGTGTAGGAGGCATATCTACTCCTTACTAAGAGTAAAAGAAGACATGCATTTTGCAGATTCTTTGAGGTAATTGAGCACAAAAATGCCATGCTACATTAATCCATGAAAATGACCTGATTAGAAAAAGATGCGTGGCAATAAGCGAGGCATAGGCGGATAAAATCAATTTTTACTCGTACGAACAGCGACTCCATTTCCTCGAGCTCCTTTCACTGAGTTCAAGGGCAAACCATCCGTTCTCCTATCTTAAGAGGTTATCAGTGTGAAACGAGCCATGCCGTTTCAACGGGGAGCCTTCTGCTCTGCATGCGAGGCAAGAACGTGATGCTCTTATTAGTTTCCATTCATCTCAGCTGCGACCAGACTAGTTATGATCTCTCTTCTCCCACCCGTCCAACACTGAAGCCAGCTCAACCTCGCAGCGCACTCTGTAGCTGCAGCGCAGACACAAACCCATCACCGGAGGCAAAGATCTATGAAAACCAGCAATGAAAACAACGTTTTCTGAGACAAAGCTAAATGTCATCACATCTTTGTTCTGTCATGTGGCAAACTTTACAGCAACGACAGCTTCTTATATGTGGCAGAATACGATTTATGAAAAACAAAACACAGAGAAAAGAGATTTGAAAGTGGGCGGGGGGGAGGGGACCCCTGTGACTAAAACAGCTAGAAACAGGAAATTACTTTGTGCCTTTGTGTGCCCGTTGTTTTATAGTGCACTCATGCATCTGCGACATTAACCTTCAAGGGGATTGTGTGGGCTTCCATCTTATTGATGAAGGCAAACACATCTGCAGAATCATCCAGCTTTCACCCATATGAAACACAAGCTGAGGGACCTGCCAGCTGTTCAACGGTGTGTAGAGTTCTGAGAAGAAGCTCTACAAACACTTGCAAGAACTGCGCGCACACACACACACACACACACACACACACACTTGTGTAAAACGCAGTCCTCAACGCAGGCACCTGCTGTACCAAGAACAGGAACTGAGGAATTGTCAGCTACATACATACATACATGTTACATGATACTTAGGGCAGCCAGTTTGACAAAGGGAGAGAAAACAATCTGCAGTGCAAAATTCCTCTAGCAGCCCTGAAAAGTTCCACCTTCAGCTTACTCCTTTTCTAGCTGAGTTAGATGAGAAGACGACCAGTGTTTTTGTATTGTTATAGTTATAGTTGTTAAAAGTCACAGCGAAGCGGGCGGAGCTAAGACACCATCCATGTAACGTCTGTGCTGACTCACGGTTGGAAAGAAAGCTAAAAACAGATTTCCCATAAACTTGAACTTTCTACTACTGCTAAGTGTCCATTGCCTACACATCAGATAATGGGTGCTGCATCATTTAGTTAATGAAGATGTTTGACAGAAAATGTACCATGTTCCAAAACGCTGAAACCAGTGAAGCATTTTCAATTTGAAGTACTAAAGCAGTACTATCAACCAAACTAGGAACACAAATATGATAGCATCAGCCAACAGCTAAAGACAAACTTGAACAGAGACACTATGCCAACTTTTTCTCTCCTTCCTGAGTGACCAATGTGCAGCTTTTTGAGAAACCATTTAGGCTATTCAGTGTGTGGATTCCACTGCGGCAAATTAAAAACATATGTGATGGACATATAGTGCATCCCCTCAACGACGCCCACGATGTGTACATGTTTCTATAATTTTCTTGGTTTATACAAGATATGTATGTATGTACGTATAAATGTAAGCATGAGCCAATGTTTCTACCTTTGGCGGATCATAGAGCTCCAGCTGGTACCTCTCTCCTCCTCCTCCTCTTCCGGCTACTTGAGCGTCCCTGATCCTCCTGACCAGCAGGCGGCAGCGCTGCCAGCGGGGCTGAGTGTCCGAGATAGCATCTTCAACCAGCAAGTACCTCAGTTGGCCCTCTTTACAGCTGCCGCTCCCCTCTGACCTCTTCTGCCTCGTGCTCCCGCTGCGCAACAAACGGAAGCGATTCCGGAAGCGAGAGGCCACTCCAGCCACAGACATGTGCGAGGAGGCTGGGGGCGTGGCCTCAGAGCTTGGACAAGAGGAGGGACTGGAGGATGAGGATGAGGACACCTCCTCGTTTGCAGGGGAAATCCCGCCCACTGTGTCTCCATTATTTGGGGGACTGTTGGTGGGGAGGTTGGGGTTGCTGGGGGCCAGGTCCTGGGATGAGAGGGGGCTGGGCCGTTTCTGGAAAAGCCGCCATACGGTCTGCCGGATTTGACTGACGGAGAAATGCGTGACGTCTGCGTGTGCGGCATTGAAAGTCGAAGAGTCGGAGGAGTACCGCTCACACACCTGCCGACAGTCGGTGCTGGAAATCTCCTCGTTGCTGCGACTGTTAATCAGCAGCGGCCCGCTGCCCGCGCTACGATTCGACCCGCCGCGCACCACCGGGTTGCCTGGCGAGGAGTTACCGGCAGAGCAGCCCAGCGGCTGCTGCTGCTGCTCCTGTTCCCGACTCGCCACCACCGGCTCCAGTTTGGGCGACCCCACACCGGACGGAGCGGCTTCTCCGCCTGGCCGGCCCGCCTCGCGGTAGTCCTGCGCCCCCGACACGGGAGCGACGCGCAGTCGCCCAATCACAGTCTGTGATGGGAGGAGAGGAGCCGCCGTAGCGGTGAAGGAAGCGCTGCCGGTCGAACCAGAGCTCGTGATCTGACCGAGCAGGGCGCCATCTTTGTCGACCTCGCAGCTGAAGTGCTGCTGGAAGAGGTCGGTGAACTGCTTGGAGAAGGTCTCCGGTGGGAGTGCGTCATGCTGCGGCCGCTCTCTTGCGAAGATCCGGTAGTGTCCAGCCAGCTGCCGGGCGGTGGCGATGGCGTGCAGTTCGCAGAATTCCCTCCAGCCTCTCGGGGGCGCTGCCACGCTTGGGCCACCTCCTCTCGCTGCTGTTGTGTTGGTGGTGTTGGCTGGATGGATAGTGTTACCATTCATCGCAGTAACCAGAGCTGAGAATCACTGCTAGGCAAAGAATGGAAAGGAGACAGAAAAGAGAAAATGAGGAATGGATGGTCGGAGAGGGGTGGGGGTCAAGGGGTTGATTTTGAGACAAGAGTGCAGGGACGGACAGTTCAACAGAGAAGTAGGAAAGAAGATGATTGAGGGACAAACAAAGGAGAGATATGAAAATGTAGTTAGAGGCAAATCACGATGATGTGGAGCGCAATCCAAGCGCTGAAACGCTGGCTAAACAGTCAGAGCAGATCTTTGAACTACTAGAAACTTTGTAACGGTTCAAACAGAAAGTGAGGACGGCCAAAAGTATGCTTTTATCTCTACTCAATCTGAAGCGGACAATATTGGATTACGTGAGCCTGCAACGAATCTCTGGCAATCAACCAGTCATGGAATATTTCCATAGATAAGGACGGCGAGAGTTCACTCAAAGGACAATTGGTAACCATTCGATTTAGGGAAAAAGGGTCAATTGAATCAAGAGCAAAAACAATGGACATGCACACATTAGAGGATAACTAGGAAGTCAGTGAGAACAAAAGAGTCCATAAAAGAGTCCATAAAAATTACAAATTCGTTCCAAATTATACCAATATGGACGACAGAGGCGAAGGTATTTGAACTGAATGAAAGCAGCAATAGATCATTTGGAAAGACACTGAATGAAGCGCCGTCTTGAGGAAGTATGGTTAGAAAATGTCCCAATCAACCTCACTGTCTGGCCTGTTTCAATGTTCTGTCTGCTCCTCTAGTTTGGTTTTTCTGTCGCCCCGTGAGGGTTAGAACATGGACGTCGTCTCTCCTTCTCCGTCCTACAGTTCACACACACACACACACACACACGTACACTAACATGTGTCGTGTCGACGCCTGACATCGCCTCTGGCTGCTACATTTGTTTTTCCTGCCACTTCGGCCATTTCTTTCTTCGAGAGCGGACTGCAAACGATACGACAGGGAATGAAGGGAGCGAGCGAGGAGGGAGGACATGAGTCAAAGCATGGGAGACTGTCTTCGGGTACATTGAGGTGGGGGTCGTGGTGCTGCTTGGGGCGGCCTTGGACCGCTTGGCGTCTGCTACTTCTTATTCTCTGCTCTGAGCTTTGTTTCACTTCTGCATACCGACCCAATGACCACTGATTAGTCCAATGTCGGCAGCCTTTGCAGGCTTCGTCCGTAACAATATTATCCCCTCTAAGGCCAAATAAAAACCGAGAAATGAGACAGTGTTTTCTTTAGTTCACCACATCGCTTCACAGAAAAGAGGAAGCAGGATGCATTCCTGAGTATTCAACGAGATGATGCGCTTCATTGTGCGTTTTTTCATTGCTGACAACCGCCCCCCCCACCCCTGCGCCGACCTGTAGTTACCAATGATGAGTAGGACGACACATTTCCAAGGAACCACAACAGGGCTAGGCTGATGCAATAGTGGGGCTTCTTGGTTTATGCAGACAGCCCATGGATGATACAACGATACACAATCAGCCCCAGAGTTGCACCATATCCACACGGCCGTCATGTAACAAAACAGCCACCGCTAAACATTCTTGTGCATGAATTTCCATCCACAGGTTTTTTACAAAAGAATTTGTCCCCATAGCACCCCCATTTCAACCCATAGCATGATAGGATCTTGCGGTTACATTTGTTGCATAACATGGTAATGGTTGACTATTTGAGCCAAAGCTGTTTGTAGAATATCTCCCCATAAAACACGGGACGTCATTTTAACGTTGCATTATATGAGAAGTGCACGTAATGCCGATACAGCTGCTTTCACCCCACAAGTCCCCTAAAAGAGCAACGGTTACACAACAAGAATTCATGATTGTCAAAGTACAACGTGTGGCATACGTACATGTAACATCTCCCTCCGGTGCAGCCCAGAAGGGTCTTATCTAAATAGAGGAAGTACGCGTGGCTGCGTGCCTACAACTCAGTGTGTTTGTGTGAGTGCGTCAAAGATTGTGGTCCAACAGATCACAGAAAACCACTAGAAATCGAGGAGGAGGAGGGGAGACGGGTTGGGGGCGGTGGGCTCGGTGTGGTTGGGCCAAACGCGGAGCGACATCTCCCGTTATCTCTCGGCTGCCATCTCTGTCCCTGCGTGAGCCCGCTGACTTGTATTTTCCTCCTCCGTTAGCGTCCCAGAACACGCCGGGGTCGCACGAGGGCCACGCGTGCGTCAGTGAAAGACAAAACCTGGCACCGAGAAATGTTGCGTCACTCAAGTTCCTGGATGTGTCCTGTCACAACAACTTATTTCCCTTCTTGTGCTTTTGGGAATGCAAGCCCCCCCCCCCCCCCTCCTTGCGCCCCTCCAGCTGGCGCCCCCCCAGAGGGCCACTTCTATCTGCGCAGCCAGCCCAGCGATGACTCAGCACTGACTGACGGCCTGCAGATCATGCACACGCACATGTCCTCTGGCTGTAGACTACCTACCTACCCCCCCCCCCACCCCGAGGAGAACCTCAGTTCCCATGGTTTTCACTTTCTCCCCAGATCTCCAGGATCTGGCTTGGCTCCTCCTTGACCTGTAGTGTGACGTTCCCGTTGTGAGGGGGAAACAAAAGAGGACTAACAAAGGTGTGAGTCTCCTTTCTTTGTTCTCATCAAGGGCCTCTAGCCCCGACTTGGCACTTTGTTTGTTCCTGCACAATGAATTTATTGCATTCCCTTGTGTCTTGGTCTTCCTCACTCATCACTCCCCTGTGCTCATCCTGAATGGCTACAGCCTTCACTCTGACACACACACACACACCTTTTCTTAATCCCTCTCAGGCGCTCCACAAAACACCTGACACAGCTTTTTGCTGCAGCGTCAACGCCACAAGCAGCCTGAGAAGTCTGTGAGATTGCAAGATTGTGTGCTAGAAGAAAAAAAGCATACAAATACTACTAGTGTGCGTTGCGCCTTTTCCTGAAATAATAGAACCGGTTACCTAAAATGGCAAAAAGACCTGTACAACAGTTAGTCGTCACCAGAATCAAACAGGTGCTGGAAGAACATGGGGAGGCCTCAACAGCAGCTTGACTACCCATCTGACTTTTCCAACGCACACAAAGAGACGCGTGACTAACTCGTCTGGGAATGTGTGGAGATGTACACCTCCACGCACCGTCCGGTTGCTTAAAAATAGGATGTGCTCCTAATTGGCATACTCATTATATGAAATGCAATTTACGGCGAGCCACATCCTTCTGACCTTTATAGAGCCCTGGCCTTATTACGGAGATCAGCCGGATCCAATCTGTTGCTTACAACCGAATTATCCTGGCATCAAGGCTTTCTGAAACATCAAACACTCTGGAGGAGTACAGGAAAACCTGGGGAAAAAAGGTTAGTCGTCACCAAAATCAACCAGGTGCTGGAAGACATGGGGAGGCCTCAACAGCAGCTTGAAACAGGTGAGGTGATATTTAGAAAGCGGAGACCCCCCCCCCCCCACCTCATCCCTACCTCTGACAGGACCTCATCACTTACTCCATTAGTCAAGCAACGGAGTTATCGTCAAATAGTTTTTAAAGCTGATCGGAATGATTTAGATGATGAGGTGCACTAAGGACGTCAGGCAGGTTGGCTCCTCTGCAGCTTTAAAATGTAAGTTAAGATCAATGTTGAGACCCAGATGGGTTATAAAATGGATATCAGCCATATACAAAGTCAGGACACGACATAACAAAAATGCAGAGCGCAGTTTGTTGCTCCTGACGCCAAAAGTGGAACTTTTCTCTGTTTCTTCAGGGGGGGGGGGGACTGCCTCAAGCCGATCTGTAAGCAAGCAGGAAGGAAGCCGGATGCGTGAGGGACACACGTGAATTGATCTTGTCAGCGCGAGTAACCCCATGACTCGTGAGTGTTTTTTTTTTTTTTTTAAAACCTCTCATCAACCTGAGAACACATGGGGGGGGATGAGCGGGCCATGACGTTCGCCGCTGATAAGAGTTTTTTTTAAAAGTCATTGAGAAAGTAATTTCTCTGGAAAATAATTAATTAAAATCTACAAAGACGCACATAGACTGCTTACACAACACGCGGAGAGTTATCAGTGCTGCTGGTGGGAGCCTTGTTGCAGGGAGGTCCTATTTATATCTCCAGAGCTCGGTATCAGCTCTCACACACCACTGTGTGTTCCTTGTTGTCCCCGGCAGGGAGCAGCTCTTCTTTGATGCAATGAACACACGTACACACGTATACACACACACACACACACACACACACACACACACACACACACACACACACACACACACACACACACACACACACACACACACACACACACACACACACACACCTTGGCCTGTGAGAATGTGACAAATAGTTTAATTGGTCTTCTGTGGGCTATTAGAGATAATCAGTAGATGGATCCATTACAAAGAACATACTAGTTCCGCTACCATCCTCTCGCAGTGGATGTTAAGGACCTCATTACTTCTATTACTTCAAAATACAACTTTACGCAGTAATCCTGACAGGTTGAACAATCACTTTTATATTGCTCCTAAACTACTACTAGCTAAACTACTTTTGAAAATAAATATGAAGATGTCACATTGGGCTTTATTTCATGTGATATTTTGTTGACGAAAAATTTACAAAATGTATTAACCAGTAGAAATAATGAATGGAAATAGCCATTAGCTGCAGCCCTAAAGCCTTTTTTGGTGGGCTGTAAGGTAGATTGTCTCAACTCAAGCTCTACTCGTAAAAGCCTTGCTAGCAGAAAACTATGCACGACACGACCTCCATGTTTAAACAGGCATACTGGAACATGACTACACATCTGACTTTTCCAACGCACACAAAGAGACGCGTGACTAACTCGTCTGGGAATGTGTGGAGATGTACACCTCCACGCACCGTCCGGTTGCTTAAAAATAGGATGTGCTCCTAATTGGCATACTCATTATATGAAATGCAATTTACGGCGAGCCACATCCTTCTGACCTTTATAGAGCCCTGGCCTTATTACGGAGATCAGCCGGATCCAATCTGTTGCTTACAACCGAATTATCCTGGCATCAAGGCTTTCTGAAACATCAAACACTCTGGAGGAGTACAGGAAAACCTGGGGAAAAAAAAGCCGCACCATGTGCATCACAAGGGTCTGGAATAAAAAACAGGCTTTAGTAACACCAGAATTTTCCGGGAATCACTGAATGAATCGCGGAGCACGGTCACAAACCAGGGAGACGGTGAGTGAGTGTGAGAGTTGGGGGCTTATTAAGAAAAGAGAGGGAGGGAGGAGGCTGTAAGAAGTGAGGTAGTCAAAACATGAGGAGGAAGAGGAGGAGACGGGAGAAACAAGGGTCACATGGACAGACGGAAAGCGAGATGAGGGCGTAATGAGAAGGCCGGCAGGAAGTGAGGAAAACGGAGAGGGAGGCGAGGCGATGGCGTCGGGTCCAGGTGGCAAAGCTAAAGACGGATCTCTGCTCTGCTCCGGGCAGCAACCACAGCGTCAGGAAGCCCCGCCCTGCAGCCAGCGCACACGTGCAGGGTCCCTGTGCACACACGGAATACCAAAATACACTCCTGCATTAGAGCTGGAGTAAGTACCACAATATTAAAGCACAGCTGCTTTGACTTATATATATATAATATGACGGGGACGGAAAAGAGCAAGCAGACCCATCAGTCTCGATTCATCTTTCGGCAAAAAAACAAGCAAGTAATTTCACTGATCTCTAATATTTTTCACTACACTTACGCTCACAAAATGTCTATTTGAAATAGCCCCATGTTCCTGATTTGGCTATCAGGAAATGTACGCAACTTTATTCCATCGTTTCCTTATATTTCAGCAAGATAAATCGCTGAGTACAGAACCTCTATTAACTATTATGCAAGTTGCCATCGGAACAAAAAGGTCCGGGACTCCCACCAAAACCATTGACTACGGTCATGAGAGGCGTAACAACCTGTGCTGGCCGAAACACCAGTTAAAGTGAATCGACACCATCTGACGTTCCATCCTTCTCATCACTTTGCCTTTTGCACTCGCATCGCCGTAGCAACAGCTACCAGCAGCTAAAAAGGTGCTTTATTCATTTATCGGTTGCCCGTTTGACGAGCTGCACGAAAAGCAGAAGGCCCACGTGAAAAGGACTCGGCGCCAAGCGTGTTCCTGTTTGCAGGAAGCGAGATGTGAAAACAGGCTACGCTAACGAGCGGAGCAAAAATTACATAATCGAAGAACATATTGTGAGGGAGGAAGTAGCGCCGAAACCTGAGATAACCGCTCAGCCTGGGGGAGGGCACCAGCTGATCTTGGGTAAAACATAAGGGAGGAGGGGGTCGGGGGGGGGGGGGGGGAGGGGGCTGCAGCTACATCACAACCATGGGCCCGTTTAAAACTTAACCATCCGTATGCCCCACAAAAGACAAAGGACATTCCTGTTCGTGTGAAAAAAACTGCCCTCGGGCCATGAATCAGCCACATTACATTACAGGGCATTTAGCTGACGCTTTTATCCAAAGCGACATTACATTTTTAACCCATGGCTTTTACATTTTGCCCAGGGGGCACTTAGGGGTTAGGTGTCTTGCTCAGGGACACTTTGACATGGGACATGGGGCAGCCAGGACTCGAACCACCAACCTTGTGGCTCCCAGCGCACCCTCTCTACCCCTGCGCCACGACGACCCCGCAGCAACAAATATTTGATGTTATTATTACATTCATATAGCCACAGTACATCAACAAAGCTACAGCGGTCAGTTCTCAATGTCTGGCATTCACTGGGACAGACATCCTGGGAAAGTAGACGTACTTTTCAAAAGTAAGAATGTGGATTTTGTTTTCAACATTGTGCTTCTTCACAACGCTTTCTTTCACTAATAAAACATATGTATCTCAGCAAAATACTACTGGGTTCTGGGTAATTCTCTATTTTCTCACAACAATGCAGACTACAACACAACACAATGCGGCTATTCTTGATAAGCACAGAAAATAAGCCCGGTGGCTTTGCTGGTCATTTCCTGTGACCTGGGAACCGCCGGAGGGAAGCATGCTGGTAAAGGACCGCAGCGAAAAAGGGCCCGACTCCGTGATAAGAGAAGGGACGGAGGACCAGCTGGGATTAAAAGAAGAGAAGTAGGAAACAAAAGGTCTCTGCCTTCTGCCGATCCTGGCGCGTCGAGGAAATGCTCAAACACGGGAGTCCAGAGGCAGCGAGAGAAGAGAGGGAGGTCCGGAGACTGAGGCCAGTAATAACCAACCAGGCCTC